ACGAAGCAATTCCAGTTCATTGTGATTCTCGTCGGTCGAATTCCTCCCATTCATCGCTACTGTTGCCTGTAACTGCTGCAACAGAAGATTAGAAAGGGAAAAAATTCATCCAAGTATCACAAACAACACTATTCGCGATAACAGCAAAAAAAAGTGATTATGCTGATGATGCCGACATCAACACTGGCATCAAAGTTGCTCTGGCCATCGATGTGAAGTAATTGTCCACCTTAGGAGCTGAAAAATTTCCACTCCTCTAGCACTTAGGTGGCACCAAAACTGACCTATGAGGAAAAAAGACCAAAAAAAAAAAAAATTCCGGTTATAATGAATATTTGTTCACCCGAAATCAAAACAAATGTGATCACAAAAAATTTGATTAAAAATTCAAAAAAAAAAAAAAATCGATTCAAAAATTCGCCACAGGAGGTGAAATATCTTGCCAGAAGATTGCGCAAAGACTTGCCGACGGATGTACGCAAATTCAGGGATGAAAAATAGGGGATGAAACACAGGCTAAGGGATGAAACACAGGCTGCATCGTAAAATGTCTTTTTGTACATGACACTTAAGTCGAATCCTTCTACTCTACTATTCAAGCAGGAGGTGTAAAATGACGGAAAAAAATGAAGATGGAATTTGGCTGCTGTGAAATTTCGACTTAAAACGTCAAAAAAACCTCTCCGCATTCACTCTTTATATGAGAGGCAGAGGTACTCGGTGGTAGCTCATGTGCTGGCATATGGCAAACAACTGCCTGAGTTGTCGTAGCTCGCTCTTCCGAGGACTGCTTATTAACAAGCAGTGCCTTGACAAGGAGATAAATGCTCACTATGGGTATTTAGCGCGGTAACGCAAACGAACTCGGAGATGTTCAGCAAAGCCCGAGCCAGAGGTTTTGACTTTCTGACATGCATCAACATTAATTTACCGTCCCAACGACTAAACAAGTCGAAGACAAACTAGCTGTTGCATTGGTAGAGCCGAACCTTGGAACTCTTGCAAGAGAGCAATGTTACTTACCACTGCATCATACTAATAAATGACGAGGAAAAAACTAAATCTGGAAGTGGTAAAATAAAAAAAATTGAAAAAACCGAAAGCCGAATTTTGGGCATAAGAAAGCTAGGGAACAGTGCATAAGTTCATAATTGGAGATTTCACCTCCCATAATATTCAGTTCTTTTCTTTACATTCTTCACCCTTTCCTCTGTATCACATCTTTTCTTTACTTTCTTCTTTTCTACTTTTCTTAAATATCACATTATTACATCTACACCTTTAACCTTCTATTATATTCTCATGAATGAATTCAACACAACTGTCGTGCTGATGATATCCAGTTTTGGTACTAACAACGAATTCTTCTAATTCTTTAGCATGTTAAAATATCAAATT